ATTGAGAACCACTGGATTAATGGATATAAAAATAAGCTTGAAAAGGCGGTTTATTAGGTAGATACTTTTAAATACAACCATAAAGTACTATCTTCATTAAAGTTTATAAATGATTTCCCAGTCAACATTATTGAGAAGCATTTTATTATAAATATTTTTCAAGAAAAAGCCTGGATATTACACTACTAATAATATTAATACGAAAATTTGGATGCTTTTCGCGCACTCAATGCGTTGTTATGGAATACTTTACTACATACAAAAATAATCAATATCACGGCTCTTCAAATCCTCCGGTGGGTCGCAAAAGGGCTTAATGGGATTGGCGGTAAGATCATTTCCGACAGCAACTTATGTTAAAACAAAATATCGGTAGAATATGAAAGACACGGAACCAGTACTGATACCCAACATCACCGAAATAGAGTTAAGATGTGATCTTTTATGCGAGAATTTGCAAGCACATTTGTCTCATTAAAATTATTGTCAGCTTTATTATTAAATATCTTTAATATTTTCTGTTTTATTAAATTTTGCTTTATTTTTTTCCTTCCTGAGGGGCGCGAAAAAAATTTGGTTGCTGGCCGTACCAATTGGATCGTGATAAAAAGTTTACCATACTGTACGTCTCTTAGGAAGTATCGAAACAAAATTGTGCTTGCTCTCTTGCGCCTCTTCTAATACCGGCACACCACAATTCTAATTTTTTATCGAGGATTACTAGTTCCAAAATTGTCTTATCAAATATTTTTTTATCTACTACGTTACTTCGTGTGTATTAGGGATAGTAAAACAGTCGTCATCTTTCCATAACTCTTTCGAGGAATTTTTGAAATATCCACCAGACATGAGACCGGATTAAATTTTCATATAGCTTTTATCCAAACGTATACTTTTCTTGAATTTTTTAATTCATTTTTATACATTGATCTTAAAACAGAACAAAACGTAAACTCATTCAGAGTTAACAAGGAGGCCGAATATCACTGAAATGATTCAACTTCAGAACTTGAATTTTCTGCTAATTTCCCTCCTTTTTTCAAATCCCTTTCGATTGATTGTATTTGAATCCGACTTTAGTTGTGCCCTCGCTAGTACGTTCCCGAAGGTTGAATATATTATTCAAATCAATTTTCCGTATGAATTAATAAAGAGTCATTGTCCCTGAATAAATTACGTATAAAAACACAACTACATTGTTGGAGTGTTATCAATAAATTTCAACGGTTTTTAGACCTAACAATGAGAATAAAAATCAACATGATGTAAAACCCAAACAATTCTAAATGTAATTCGAACGTCGCATTTATTACACATCGATTTACAGACCTAACTTATGTATCATTTTGTACATAATTAAGCATTAGGGAATGATAATTAGCACGCTCGAAGTAAGGTTTATTGGTAAAATATGTTTTTCCATACGAATATATCTTCCAATAAACCTAAATTTTTTGAAAAACTACGACAGTACCTGTTGTACTGTCACCGGTAGCCTGTGTAGTCGAATTGTCTCTAAGATTTTTTCGTTTAGTCGAATTGTCCGTGTGTTCGGATTCCGATACGGTTACTGGTAAGCTACCGCATATGATTTTCGGTGAATTGATGATAACATATTTAGTTTTGCGCTACGTGTCCACATATTTGAACATAGCTATCTTGTTATGTTGTTGTTCTTATTCTTGTTGTTCTTCTCCTTATCGTTATTAAAAACTCGTTTCTCCCTTTGATTACTGGACCAATTGCTTCGAAATTTTCAGTGGTCAAAGATTGTCAGTGTCGCAAGTTTTATAATAGTGGCAAATCTAAAAGGATTACGAGTTGGGTTGCGCGAGACTAACTTACTATACGTCCTACATGTGGTTGACTAGGTCAAGTATATCATGTATTTTTATAATCTTTCTTGGCAGTTTAGTGTGGTGGCCTGTAACTTTGCTCAGATATCGGTCTCCTTTATTTCTGAGTCAGTGCGCGTGATGTTACCAAGTTAGGCTTTTTCAGCTCATTCTCTCATTGAACACTGAATACAAATGGATCTTTTATAAGTCAGTGTATTAAACATACATCATCCAACTGGAGATCCATAGTCCGGACCTCAGTCGCGCTTATATGAAGATCCTACCCTAAGCTAAACCCATAAAGGCACAAGTAAGCTTTTCTTACTGCTTAAAGTTGGAATGGGCCGGAATCGATTCTCTTCCCTAGCTTGGAAAGTTTGGAGAGAGCCTTCAAATGATCAATGAAGTTGTGCATGAATTAACAAAATCCGACAGTCGATGTTATGATTGACACGAATCATTCAACTGAGCCAAGTCGGGGCAATTTTTCCAGCCAGTAAAATCTAGGCTAGCCATACTTGCGGCCAAAGTTATGATGTTGAGACGTTGAGCCCTAGTTTTGTGAAGCTGATGACTTCATGTAAATGTTTAATCCATGACTGCAAAAATTATATACCATGAGATTTTTCCGCCGGCAGTGGGAAAGCCTACAAGAAAGACATCTTTTTCATATGGCGTTTGCTTAGAGCTGAATTGGTCGCCATGTCAATCACGCCATCGTAAAGTTGTCGCCCAACTAACGACCGTTGAATATCGCGTTACCGTCGGCCTAAAGCTCACTAACTTTTGGCGGGTGGTGGCATTTTCGTTAACCGTCGGCCTAGATTTGTGATTGTCAGGTTCAATATCAAGTTTACAGCTTTTGGTTTTGCTGTAGGTGTATGCAAACATGTGGGCCTGAGGGATAATGGCATAAGGTCAACTTTTCTTCCTCCACCTCTGCCTGGTTTTACTTTGAAATGCGGAAAAAATTACTCATGCTTGCTAAACTCGATTCTGCAGATAAATAATAATAGATGGAGCAGATGAATAAAATAAAGTATTTCATTGTTATGTAACATTAAAGGCAAACACTACGTAATGAAAAGTAATTGACATAGAAATGTAAAATGAATTTATTGATTCATATACCCAGCATTTAAATTTAAAAAAAACGAAAAAAAATATTCAATTATATTTTAGGTATGTTAATTAACACAATTCTCGTAGTTTTAGCGGCGCATTTTTGGTGTTCTACGAGGCGACATAAAAAGCAAGTGTTCCGTGGCTAAAGTTTGGGAAATGTTGGCTTGGGGTATGGGTGGTGGAAGGAAGCCGCCAGCAATCCTCCGGTACTAAATTATGCCCTACGGGATTTAAACTTACAAATACAAGCGGGGTAATCTTAGGATAGAAACCAGGCGTATTCTTAAGGCTTAGCACGATGCGCCACTCAACGCAAACGTAGTCAGCTGCAGAGCACTGGCTGACATAGATACTAAATACATTATCATACGTGTATACCATTACCCTGGGTGATGAAATCTCAGGATTGTTCTTTACGGCCGTACATACCTGTATCATGATCGTTCTTTACGAAGAGGTCTAATCTAGAGACAGACTCAAAGTGCTTCATACGTAGGCTTACCATACGTCCCGGTTCAGCCGGGACAGTCCCGGTTTTAGCATGTTTTTCTGCCGTCCCGGCGATAGACTTAAATGTCCCGGTTTTGCAGTATGACAGTCATAATAGTTTTCCTATTCGATAATATTACAAAAAAAATTATTTTTAATGGAGGCAGCCGATTTACCAATGATTTGCGTCTCACTTCATGACATGAAGTATGAACCATGCGGTAATTTAACACCCAACTGTAATGTCGTTGAATCATCAAAATGCCGGAAACAAAGTGCAAGTTTTCTAATGAGTTTAAGAATGAGAACAATTCCCATTATTTGAAGCGAAGGCCAATAGAAAGAGAGAGTTTATTTTTATTTGTCAAACCGAGGATTTCGTAATAAGATTTACAGCTAATTTTGATGCCTGCAATCTACCCACAATGGTAGGAAAACGTTTAAACTATTACTAACCCCCAGAATCGAACCAAGTTTGACTTGTCCAATCCGCGCCGTCCCGGTTTTTGGCTTCAGAGATATGGTAAGCCTATTCATACGGACCTAGGGTCTCCGCGATCTATTCGTTTACTTAAAATGGCATTAATAAAATTTAAAAAGCAGCAAATACATCCGAGTTATTAAATAGAGTAGTTTCAATTCACTCATTCTTATTGATCGGTATATAATAATTTGATTTTGCTACGTTCTTATTGAGGGGCTACGTCAACGTCAATAACACCTCTTCACGAGCTCCATAACACCAAATATTTGAATGATCTCGAATAGTTGATCTATATATTATCAGTTGTTGTCGTCGGTATGCTCTTGTCTTGAGCAGTCAATTATTTACTTCACCGTTTGATTTGGGCGAATAAATTACTATACAGTATAGGCATCGAAACAACATCGCCGGCACGGTATTGTATGGAAACTTAAAATTATTCTTGGCTGCGCAAGTCAATGAGCTAAGATTTGTACGCCAATGCAGTGAATGCATTGATATAACGCTAAACTTGTATACGCCGTTATTCTTTCATTGAGTTGTAGGAAGGTTACATTTTTGATGGTATTCACGTGCGCGTTTACTCGAGAAATATAAACAGACAAATATAATGAAATTTTTGGATTCTTTGTACTAAGCTCCCGTCACTGATGCAAAAATGTGTGATCTGAGATAAACACAGCTGTCACGTTTTAAAATAAAAAAAAATAGGTAATTATGCAGTTTGGGTTAGGAACGATTTGAAAATTTGAATTACCGGCTGAATTGGCATCTCTCACCTTAACTGAATATTTACTATTTCTATTTAATTCGAGCGTTGGCGGTGTGATGTTTTGGGGCGGGACTTGGTACAATAGATCCTGAGAATATTACTGTAAACTAGGTATTATACGATGTATGAAGCAAATCCCAACCGTCATTTGCATTCTGCAACTTTGAGATCATGCGTCAGAAGCGTGATCGGCTCGTAACAACAACATGGAGTATAATTAAAGTAATCAGGTAAAAACATTTGCTTACCAACAATCAGTTAGCTTTTTTCGTCAAATATTTTTCGCGGGAAGCCACAAGCGACATCGCTTTTAGTCAGTCACAAATGTCCGTGGTAGGATGATGTTTGATTTTCTGTAGGATGTATGGATAGGCTGACTATTGGGCTATGACAGTGAGTTCGAAACAATATTCAGGTGAGCTAATTGTTCTTTATACATATTACTTTCATTGCTATTATATTGCTTTTATTTTACTATTGTATAAGTGGTAAATTAGAGGCTTTCGGGCCTATACGAATTAGAATTATTAACCTAATACAGAAGTACAGATTGATGGATGATTCTCTTTTGTATCGTCTCACTAACAGCGGGTTCCATCGTATCGTCACAAATAAGCCAGACTTTAAAGCTATATGGCAATACATAAACTTATCATAATAGGAAACTTGAACTTAATACACTGATATACGTAACTATGTAAGCTGCATTCAACATGGTACGCTTTACATGTAATGCATAACTTTCAAAACTTGCGCAAATGTAGCGCAAAATCCATGGTTTAATAGAAATTCGCCGTAGGCCTTTTACTTTTATATAATATTGTGTATAGATTGGATCTTTGTACAAAGACCCTACCAACGTTTAAAATAAGAGAATTCATTAAATCATTCCTAACCCCAAATGGATAATTTCTAATATGTCATTGCCGCTGTCCATTGAATATGCTAGCTACAGTTCTGCGACAGTTTATATATCAATATTTTAACTTTTTTTCAGATTCAGAAATATTAAAAGTTAAAGATTCAAAGACACAAAGTAACGAACGAGAAATATTACAAGTAAATATTATTTGAACATTTTATTTGACTTTCGACGGCTATTGATTCTTGTATACGACTGTTTTCGTTTAAAATGCTAAACAATTCGATGCGAGCGCACCGCGTCTCAGTTCTTGCGATCAGAGTCAGCATTGTTATGCCACTTATTTGATCGTGTGTTTTCTTTCGAAATTGTAAGATTTATATTTTCACAAGTTTTAATAATTGTCTTTCGATTCAAAAGTTCAATCGAAAATGCTAAATAGTTCGATGCAAGCCAACATTGTTATGCTGCTTATTTGATTCTGTGCATTCTATCAAAATTGTAAGATTTAGATTTTGCACAAGTTTCAATAATTGTGTTAAGTCCAAAAAAGTACTATAAATATAGTACCTTGGATCAAATTGGTGTACTCTTCGCGACCCCTAAAATTCGTTGCGCGCTTCCCTACTGGATAGCAATCCCCAGTTTGCGATCTCTACCGTGAACAATGTGATGCTACAAGTTACTGATCATAGTTATTCATTTACTCCATGAAACAGTTATAAAACTTTATTGGGTATTTTATTGTTATTGTAATATTTGCAATTTGTGCAGCTTGAAAACTACACCTGATATGTATATATATATAACGTATATATTTGTAATTCATGGCAATCACTGAATAAATTTTATTCGTCTAAATTGGTTTTGGATTCGTCTAAAAGTTTTGGATTTTATGAAATTAAATGTCGAAATTTACGCGTTACGTATTTTATTAAAACTTTCGTATATTTTTAGAAGAAAATATTCAGAAAAGTGTCTTACTTCAAAAATACAAAATAAGAAACTAACATATCATTTCAACTAAAGGATGTAATTTTGGTGAAATCAGCGACATAGTTGAAAATGACCTAAATTGAATTACAGAGTTGGTTTTTTGTATCCTTGGCATAAGCATAGCTTTGTAGTGTCTCTGTCAAATAACATTTATGTGAATTACCTATCTGAAAATGGCATAGTTGGCTCAACGAAATTTAGTTTAATTCAAATTTAGAATTGGCTTACACAAAATCACGACCTATATATTGATTTTCAGCGTTTCGAAACACTGCTTGAAAGTCGGCAGGACAATTTATATTTGCACCAAAAGAAATTCGTCAATAGCCAGGTTTTCATTACTGAGTGAGATGGAGGCCTATCAAGTCTGCAGAACAAGTATGTAACCAAATCATTTAAAATCTTTCAATTTACATGTCTATAAATAAATGATATATTGTATTTTTTTCGGGAAATCTACAAACAAATTATTACTTTTAATATGTTGAGTATATAAGCTTAGTTTTAGTTTTGTTTCGGCTGTCAAATAAAATTTTCTTTTAATTACAACCTTTATAAAAACATGATTTGCACAACTATCGTTTTACTCTGGCTATTGAATCGGCCCAGTGAATGAATAAGGCGGGGGTCATTTAAAAAAAAATAAAAACTAGGCTTTTAGGTAGTCGAAACACAAGAATGCATTACATTGATTTCTTTTTGTCAGTTTAGGCACCAATGTGCGCTCATAATTGATTATGGCAAAATCTGTTAAAACCATACCATGTTCATTTCGTATGATCGCGGAATCGACTGTTCCGTACTACAAATTAACTGTAGCAATATTCGGTGAATAATGGCGTAGTCGGTACAGCGCTGCACGTCCAGGGGCTAGCTGCTGTGTTGTCCCATCTGCCGTCGTTTCGTTTAATCGTCCAAACCATAAGGCCAATTACTATCTTGCAATGTCAGTTTATTTAAAGGTCATTAGGCTAGCATAAATAAAAGGCGTTTCATTGCAATAGGGCGTCACGTTGTGATTACGACGAACAGTGAAATTTTTTCATAGTTATACTATAAGATAATCCAGCAGTGTATATCTGCAGAGATACTGAAAGGATTGGAACTATGCCTCATTAAGTGCAATTCGGGTAAAACACAACCCCAACTTAATAACCATGCGAATATTGAAACTTATTGTTCAACTTGTTATTTATCATAAGGTGCCTATATATACACTAATATGCCTAATTTGTTGAAATCGTAGTCCTGACCTTTTTTAGTAATCTGATGAGCGTTTTTGCCACAAATGGTAGTTCACACTAACTACCATACTATATAAAGTAATCAGGTTAATTTCCTAAGTGTAACTGTGGCTCATCGTGACCTGCACGCTCTGGTAGTAAACAATTGTCCCAAATTTCCAATAATGATATTATCAGAGTGCGTCATACTAACTGCATTAAGATAGCCGTTAATTTTTCATCTTAAAGAACTCGTGTCCCAACTAAAATTTCCAAAAACCATACTGTATAAATTAGAGACATGATTTAGATTTAGAGACATGGAAATATGTGTCATATTTTCCCTATTGTTAGTGCGGGTCACGTCATGTTATGCCTAATCATGTGTAATAAGAAGAACTTAAATAAACTCTCCTATATAATCTCTACTGAATGGTGTTAATTAAATCTTTCATACGGCACTCACCGTCAATATAAGATATAGTAGTTTCAAAACTTCTTACTAAAACTTCTTACAAGACTATTTACTTTTTCAATTAATATCTAAATGAAAATCTGCAAACAATATCGAATGTACGTAAATGAATATCAGTAGGTTAAAGTTGTCGTCTCTGTATCTTTAGAATAAGCATAGCTTATCACAAGGGCGTGGACAATTTTTAGAAGGGCGTTAAGGTAATTGAGAATAGAAATATTTGTTGGATTTTATCTTTCCCGCCTTATTTTTAATATTTTAATTTCTTGAATATGTAGCCGTATTTACAACGTGTTTTTCAATGAATATAAATTTAATTTATATGATGTGTTGCAGTATTATACACTGACAAATCACTCAAAGTAATATTTGTAATTTTGGGAAAATCTGTGAATAATTTATCAATGAACTGAAAATTAATATTTTTATTTTCATGTATCTAAATTCTATATTATAAGCATAGCTTCTCTGTGCTACTGCCAAATTACATTTTTTGTAACTTTTAAACTTAAAACTTAATAATGACATAGTTCGAACAACTATTTTTAATCAAATCAATATTATACAAAATTTACCTACATTTCATTATCTCATTTAAATTTCAGCTTTCTGAAACACTTCTTGAAAGCGGGAAAGACAATTTATCATTATATCTAAAGACATGCGGAATTATTTGTCCGATTATGCATCACTGAGAGAGGTGGCTACCTCGAGTCTAAAGAGCAAGTATGTTATTACAATCTTTTGAATCTTCCTACATTCATCACCATTATTCACGGATCCCCACAATACATTTTAAAATTGTTATCTATCGCTATTCTTAAGTAAGTTAAATATTACTTTACTTAATTTAAATGCTGAACATTTTGATAGGCTTAAGACCAGATATATATAAATCTAAATTTCACAGATAAATTAAACATATTAAGGCTGTAAACTCAACAAACATATTATCAAATATGGGGTCGAACATCCTTTTGGTGTTTTTGGAATACTGGCATTTTGGTAGAATCACCGATAGTTTTCGTCAACGCGACGTGTATTTAAACAACTTATGTGCTTATTCTTCCTGAATCACAAATTTCCTTGACATATGAATGTATTGTTCCACGAGGCCGACTTTTAACTTTTTTGGTCTTGTGCGGAATTATGAGTTCAGTGTGCGAAACAAGTTTGAATGCTATATTATAAAAATCGCTGAAGAGATGATAAGAATAAATGATAAAGGGGTGAATCCGCAACCCAATTTCTTGATTGAAAACCGGCATTATAAAATATTAAAACTAAATTCTAAAACGGAAGATATCACCATATCTAACAGTCTCGCAGCAGATTGCAAACGCTTTTGTAAATTTGCGTTATGTTAAGATTTCTTTAATTAAACTGTATACCATATAGTAACTAAAATCGAAACACAGTGAATTGTTCGCGCGATGTACCTTTTGTCTATTTTGAAACTACCGATGGAGCCCAATACGACTTTTTCTAGGTATGTGACGATATATAAGATAATTAATGCAAAATATATCAAACAATTTTTTTTTTTGCAAAATTTTTAATATTACAATCGTTCGTATTTTGTCGATATCTTTAAAATAATTTTGGGTGCCAAAAAAACAAATCAAATTTGACTAACCTCAAAATATGATTCCGGTCTACTTATAGTTGGCAGTTTGGGACGTATTTTATGCAGTTTTTAAATAGCAATTTTCCATTTTAATAATCGTAAAAGTTTTTTCGACTAAAATTCGAGTAACGAAGAACACAAATAAATTACTATTAAATTATTATGACAAGATATTTTAAATGCTCGCACCGGCTATGAATTGAATATTTTACTCGAGAGACAACTTTTTATCCACTGCGATCCTACTTATGAATAACGTCACATTTGAATTTACGCTCATATTTAGACGAAATCAAATTTTATTAATGATGGTATTACTTCTTTGGACAGTCACAAAATTAGCCAAATCAGTATTTTGAGAGGTAATCAAATGGCTCGCTGAGCGCCTAAGTTTCTGTCACAGCGCTCTTGAGAACCTATGCACTAATAGACCGGAATAGGAAAAATAAGAAATTTTCGTAAGAGTGTTTGAAATATCGTTGTACATGTTTAATAGCTGAGTTTTAGGCAGAATATTGTACAATTTTAGCATCTCTTTGAAAATTAACTGTTTGCATCTAGTAATTATATATTTACTCCAGCTTACCATCTTAAAATTTTGTGGCAACGCTTCCAATTGGCTAAAAACTCAATATGGATACGCATTATCGCGATAGTTACCTTATGTCCAGGCTTGTCTATGGGAAACGTCCCATGAGATGAGATAACACACTTTTGTATTTCCCATGGGACACGTGGGACATAAAAACGAGTGATTTCCGGGGAAATGATGGTAAAATATTTCGCTATGGATTTCGTGTCAATATATTTGAGCATGTCTATATTTCTTATGTTTTATTTATAAGGGTATTGCGTTATTGATAACATAGTCCTTATTATTCTGTGTAGAATTTAATAGTTTAATCTTATCAGTAAAAATCGTTTTTGCCACAAAATAGTATCACACTATGAAAAAAAATCCGACTAAGTTCAGAAATGTAACTGTAAATTATCATCGTCTATACTCTAGCTAGGTGTACCGTTGGCAGCATACAGCTTTCGGTCTGACCGGGGATGGTTGTGACGTTTCCATTGTGGGGAAATAAAGGAAACTGTTGCACCAGTATCAACCAGAAATTGTCGGCCGCTTTTTATATCGAAGACGTGGAGAAGATTTGTATTTGGAGAATTGGAATTAAGTCTATTAAGTGAATTTATATGGCGCTGTGAAGATCTTTCACAGCGCCCTAGGGGAAAAAAGGACCCCGACCGGAAAAGGTACAAGGCTGGACGCAATTACGTGCTAGGTTTCCATAACGTTGATGATACCAGCAAGCCGTCGGAGTATTGGGTCGGTGGTTTCTGTAACTGGCGTTGTAACCTCTGCCATTACTAGATGATGATTGATGATTTTGCATAAGGGCTCTCGATGGATTCACAAGACTCGTGCGCTCTCCGTTTCTAACACGTACAGGACGTTGAGTTAACGCATTAGAGCTAAAAGAAGTAGGGTGTGCAGCTTCCGAAGACCAATGTGTAGGGTTATGCTTTAACACGTCAAGATCCTTCCGAAGATTACCAAGTTCACTAGCTAACATCGAAAAAATATTTATTGTTGTCGGCGCTACAGTCAGGGTTTGATGCATGATTTTCAGAGAAATGTGATTGGCCGGTTGTGACGTACGTCTGGAGAATATACTGTCCGCACGATAGGTCAATTTATCTATGGAATCATCCGGATGGGCAGAAAGAGCTGAAACAATATCTGGCGGTAGTTGCTGAAAGAACATCTCCTTCAAAAATTCCTGGTTGGTGTTTGGAGCGTCATTTGGACAAACGGAACTGCGTAGCTTTCTTAAAATTTGGGACGGTTTGAAATTTGAGCATCCGCCGTTGTATGCGCTTTCTAAGCGGGACGGAGTAAGTATTGATCAGAAGTTCCCGCAAAAGTCGATAGCAACTGGGATGATGCTCGCCCGGGAGGCGAGAACGTATAGTTTCCAATTGGCGGTCGTTCAGGCACCGAATAATATAACAATATTTGTCCACATCATCGTTTATCCCTACCATGCGGAATACTGCTTCGGTCGACGTTGATAAATAAACTGTGGACGGACTTGACCAACATTATCGTTGAGCGAGCCGGCATTGGTGTGCTACCTACATCTATTTGTGGCTCAGACTGATTCATCGCACGTTCTGGTAATTTGTCGCTATTATTATCAATTAAAATCAAGTCAGTCTGCGTGCTTTCGAATGGAAATTGTCTCATAGTAAAATTACGTTGCATCTAATAATGACAACGTAAATAAAAACAATGGCTAAAACGCACGCGATAAAATGGTCGATGAAATAGTCCTAAAAGCTAATATAAAAGTCTTAAAATTGATAAAATCAGTCTGTTTCAGGATTAAAATCTTTAAAAACCTTGAATCCGTTTTCTCGATTCCTGGGGTTGAGGTTTGTCTTGAGTTTGAGACTGAGTTGAATTCTATCACGTCGGGATGTCCCCAACTTTCTATGGGGTTTTTGCTATTGCCCTAGACTCCGCGTGCCGAGACAAGGCTTCCTAATTCCTGTCCGCTTTCAAGTCTCTGATTAAAACGAGTAAGTTCCTTGTATGTTATATTATAAAATTGACGTTATAAAAGCATAAAATAGATATCAAACAGTAAAATAACTTAACTCAATAATGAGGCAGATGCTTGGAGTAGTAGTAGGTGCGTGTTGCGAGAGATCCCCGAGTTGAGTGCCTTAAATTTCCTATCTAAACAGAAGCCAAAACGTGGCAGCGCGTCACAGGTCAGGTGACCCGAGCCTAGATGTCGCTATACCCAACAGCAAATACACCATCCAGATTGTGACGCATCGTGTTGTCTGACTTTTTTGCATTGCTTCTGTTTTGCTTCAATATACGCCAGCATAGCCGCCGAATCCTATGTTTTAAACTTTTTTTTTGTTTATAGGATTTGTTATGAAGACGGTCGCATTATTTTAAAACGACGGCCGCAGGTTGTGCACCGTTGTTTTAATGTGATTTTTGAAACTTTTTGTTCAAAACATTAGAACCCCAAGGAATGAATTTAAGAGATGGGTAGGATAAATTCACAATTTATGCTAATTTGAACATTACATTTTATTGTCACACTCGATTTCTATTTCGCGGTTAAAGTCATTTCCTTACATTGCAGCCATAACCCTCAAATGAACTTCGGCGACACCACAGTCGGAGTTACGGGATAACAGCATGAAATGTTTAATTTTCTTTTTAATTGTTACTCACTACACTGTGGGATATCTATTGATTTTAAGGCACCGCCCCAATTTTAATTATACCTATCTGTCTATTTATATCTATCTGTCAAATATTTATGTGCATGCAGTTGCATTTCTTGTTATAGTTTTAAATTGCTTGTCTGAAGAAGTCTGACCTCGGTCAGACCAACCCCGTGTAACTTCCGATATTTGGTCCCGATGTTGGATTTGCCGTCACGCCCGACTAGGCGCAGACAGATTATTGCTTCCAAAATCATCGTGTGTTTTCCTGTGTTCTGACGGCGTTGTCTCACGTCAAGATTAGATGAGTGGCTATATAAATATTCAAATTAGTTGTGCATCAACATTAATAAATATTTTATTATAGAATGCAGATTACAAAACAAAAGAGCAATCATTTGAGAGGGAAGGCCCTATAACCGGTCCCAGTACTTGAAAGCATGTTGACAAATGACAGATCTGAGATAAGATAAGATAAGATAAGATCTGAAGATTTTAAATTCAATTCAAGACTCCAATGAGTAGATGTAGTAGAGAATCATTTTGTGCTACAATTGTTCAGCATAAAAAGATTGGATATGAAGTATGTCAATAATATGAATTCAGAATCGGTTAATCTCCTGTATCCTGTTGATGTAAACAATTGTTGCAAAAATATTCATAGAGGTATATTGGTAAATTATGAAAAAACGTTCAATTTCCAGATTATGTGGAAAATTTTACCTTCCAAAATAAAGTTTATTGCGGGTAATGATATTTGTGTTCTATGTAATAAAGAACCTGAATTTAATGAACATTTGTTTTGGAAATGTTTATTTATACAGTACATATATGATTATATTTATGA